ACCTTTCTTTGTTTCGTGGATGTTTTGCTTGCTTGTTGCTTGTGATGGGGTGTGAACCGACAGTCTGTAGAGTTTTCCATCTGGTGTGGGTGAGTGATAGTCTACTTTGATTTTGGTTAAGGTAGATTATCATTTACAGTGTAAACAGTGAGGGGATTCTGCAGACTGTTGAGGCTTCAGCCTCTACTGATTGATGAGTCGGTGAAACTCCGACGAAACAGTTTGTCACACAGCCCCTCCCTCGTTTGTTGTCCTCTTCTCTCTCTCTGCCTACGGTTTACCGGGCAGTTCTGCTTGTGACGATATATGTGTGCGTGTGTGTGCGCGCAGTCCCGTTCAATGTAACAGTCAGACACAGGCACCGTTTTTTTTTTTTTTTTTTTTTTTTTTGGTGACGCAGGCACAAACAGTTGCATAAACATGAACAAGAGGGGGGCCGAAAAAAAGCCCCCCGCTTCCGCTCGGCATGGCTTCCCCAGGATGTGCAGATGGATCCCGCGAGATGTACGATATGATGAAATTGACAGCCTCCCAAACCCCATCCCACTGCGAAAACCGCCCACTTGCAGCTCCTCTCCACACTGCAGGTATGTGGAGACGACCAAGAGTGTTGTGCCCCAATCATCTCTCTATTTTATTTTATTTTATTTTATTTTAGTTTAGTTTAGTTTATTTTTTGTATTGTACATTACATTATAGCGGGCCGATGCAGTGCAATGCAATGCAATGGGAGGAAGTACGATGGGTCCCCCGGGGCGTGGTGCCACTAGCCACGAGGATCGGATTGAATGCCTGAATCTGGACGTCGCCGTGGACAGATGCAGGAAATCGAGATTGAACTGCTTTTCTGCACCTTTCCGTAAGGGATATCCAGATTCAGGCATTCAATCCGATCCTTGTTGCTAGTGGGACCTCGGCCCCGAGCATAATGCACGGTGATAAGGAAATGTATAAAGGGTGTTTTTTTTAATTTTTATGGACGGGTACCGCCGCAGGCCCTGTTAAGGGATGTACAGAGGCTATTTTTCCAGTCGGGTGCACGCACTCTTTTATCATTCTGCAGTGAAACACAAAGGCCTCTTCCCGCCGTGGCCTAATGGGCCTGCGAACGTTTTTTTTTTTTTTTTTCCCCTTTTCCCTTCCGTTGAGGAGTGTGGCGGCGCAGCAGGACGCAGGGAGGAGTTAAAAACGAGAAAAAAAAGCTCTCTAGATTTTTCGAATGGCGCTGTGTGACCAGCACAGTGTACCATTTTGCCATTCCTCCAGGGCCGAGGTCCCATTAGCAAAGACGATCGGATCGAATGCCAGAATGTGGACGTGTTTTATGCTGAGATGCAGAAAAGCAGTTCAATCTCGATTTCCTGCACGTCTCCACAAACACGTCCAGATTCAGGCATTCGATCCGATCCTTGTTGCTAGTGGGACCGCGCCCCAGACGGTCGCGACCTTGTCCCATCCGAAAAGGTAAGGCAGTGCTCCCTCTCTCCCTCTCCCTCTCCCTCCATCTCCCTCGCTCCCTCTCCCTCCCTCTCCCTTCCTCTCCCTCCCTCCCTCCCTTTCCCTCCCTCTCCCTTCCTCTCCCTCCCTCCCTCCCTTTCCCTCCCTCTCCCTCTCTCTTAGCGATGTTGTGGGCGGAGAGATGGAGGGTTACGTTCACAATTGGCAGCAAACGCAAATAGGTGGGGTTCCGCCGCCGGGGTATGCGCAGGGCACCCGCTCTCTCTGCCCCTCCCTCCCTCCCTACATCCCTCCCTCCCTTTCGCCTCCCTCCTCCCTCCCATCCACGTGTTTAAGGCTGCAACGACATTTTGTGTGGGGGTGCCACAACGACATTTTGTGTGGGGGTGCCACAACGACATTTTGTGTGGGGGTGGCAGGTTGCAAGTGGGACTG